CTCAGTCCCTTTGTCGTCATGCAGTTGTTTAGGTGAAGACCTCTCACACAGCTGGAACAGATAGAAATTAGACATAAAGGCTTTTGTCATCCTATGACATTCAATCCTATTGTTGAGGAGTTTATAGTGTCAGAGTTTTCTGGAAATCTGTGCGCACAGGACCCGCTCTGCGTCACAGCCAAACAACACAAAGTCAGCTTGGTAAATTCCATGGCAAAGAGAAGGCCATGTGAAACACTTTCTAACAAACTGACACTCACTCAGGCCTCATCTGAGCCATGTTCGTGGTGATGAGCGAGCCCCAGTCTCCTCCTTGCAGGTAGAACTGGGAGAAGCCCAGACGATCCATGAGAGTGAGGAAAATCCGAGCAGCAGCCAGGGTGTTAAATCCTTAAAAGAATTATAAAAATACAGAAAAAAATTAGTTGTAGTGCCTTGCAAAGTTATTCTTTTTGTTAGTTTTCCCATATTTGGTCATTAAACTACAGACTTTTTTAGCCAAAACCCATAAAACACAAAAACTTGAACAACCCTCCATCAAACTTAAAACATAGTAGTGGCAGCATCATGCTTTGTGAAGAAGAGACAGAATCTTGCTGAAGTTACAGAGCAAGTTTTCCACTTGAGGAAAACTTGCAGCAGGGCACTCAACTAAGTGGATTAATAGATTATTGAAATAATCGTCCACTATTTTAGTAATTAACTAATCGTTAACTGGAGTATAGAGACGATAAAACATGCCTTTAACTGACAGGGTAACCTACGTAGAGTAGTAATTATATCAAAATTGTAAAGAAAATCCATAAATATTTTGCATTAAGGATAAAAAAAAACTTTTTTGTCTGTCAATATGCTCTATCCAGAACTCCTCAAGTGGAAAAGTTTTAGTGTCATCTGGTTTAACTTCGAAAAAAAAAAATCATCTTTAAGGAACCGATGGCTATACAATAATTAATTGATTAATTGACAAAAAATAATTCACAGATAAATCGATTAACTGCATAATCATTAGTTGCAGCCTTAGATGTAATTTGATAAAACTTTAAAAACTGAAAAATGTATTCCTTTTTTACAGCTCTATATAACTGCAGCTAGCTGTTTTTTTGGATTTGCTGAAAACATTTTTGCTTTTAGAGAAAAACCTTTTTTTTTTATCCCCAGCTCTGCTCTGACACAAATCAGGTTATTACACTTGAATACGGGATAAAATAACTCTTGATATCTATATTTTCTCCTGTATGTTAAATATGTGCATTACTACTAAAATATGAATTAAGCAGCTATATTGAGTAGCTGAAGTGAGCTATACTCTTTCTAAACAAAAAAACAAAAGGACAGTTTTCAACTAACATTGACTAAATAGCCGTCATTTTTAACTAAAAGTTCCCCACAGCTCAATCACCTCAGTTGTATCAACTACACTCGACACACAAACATCCACTAAAGACCAGGAAGCACCCATAGCTTCCACTCACAGATAGATTCCAATACTTCAGCTTATAATTGGAGGATATTTAAGGATGCCAGCCTCATCATTTAAAGAGCTCATAGAATGATTCTATAGGGTATTTGGTGCTGGTCCTTAAGGTCTCTGAATAGGTTGCGTAACATTGGTTTGGCTGAAAATGGCATATTTGCTGTTCTATGAGCCCTCCCGTCACAAAAACAGTTTTTTTCCCATCTGCTATCTGTCTTATCAATAAGGCCAAGAGCAGCCCGTGACACTGGACAATGTTTCTCTCCCCCATTCAGGATCTCTGCGTTACATTAACGCAC